TGTGATCGAGTATTAATCCTTATTAATCCCTTGAAACCTCTGAACGCCCTTTCAATATTGAAGGTGACCATGGGGATTGCAAGCTCCCTCCGATGAAGTCGCTAATTCATGCCCTGTTAGCTTTTGGCACAAGCACGGTATCGGAATAACGGCAAAACGACGGTTTAGGTCAGGCAACAACAAATGCTATCGCCATGAACAAGAACTATCGAGGGACATAGATGCAATCTGGAAAGGTGTTTCCGTAGGCAAAGCAATGCTAGGCAGCTCAAGCGTTCAATCTTTACAGAGGCCGTGTCGAAGCACTGGCAAGTTCGTTTTTCCAATGCACAATCCAATTTTAGGTAGCCTTCAAGTTCCGCAGCTGCCGCTCTTGCCACAACCACATCCAGTTTTACATCGCTTTATCTATCCGCTAATGCTAAAGTTCCTATTTATGCTGATTCGGAACACACTTTCCTCCACAATATCATGTTATAGAACCATGACATTTTGGTCTTTCCGTGATTAATATTTCGGTTTACCAGCTGGCAGTATCTACCATGTGGAATAACTGTCTTTTCCCCGTGGGCACAAAAACTAATCCACGGCTCGAGCTATCTACTATCTGAAATGAGGAAGAGGAGAACGGAGGTACGTGCAGACGTGCGCCAATGAACTGCCCCAGTGGCACTGGTGCTACTAGCCACTAAGCCTTAACTACGGCCTGAGTTCATCAATCGAGGACCACCCGCGTTTGCAGCCGTAAGAGCGGTAGAAGGCTATGATCTAATTGACGAGATATGTGGGTCGTAAACTTGAGACTGGTAACCATAATACTCATTTGGTACTAGGTACGTACTTCACTGCTCAAACCAGGTTTATAAGGACCTGTTCTTGAGGTGGAATTCCTCAGGCCGGTCCTCTACGCAACACACAGACCCTTCGCATCATCTCGACTACCAGCACTCTCCTCAGTGACTATGAAGTTCCTCACCATCCTCTCTGCTCTCCTCATTGCCGTTGTCTCTGTCAACGCTGTCGCCCCGGACGCCAACAGTGCCTGTCGTTGTCCCAACAACTGCTCCCATAAGAATGGCAGCTCATGCAAGTTCTACCGGGATGGTAACGTCTTGGACGGATGTCGGTGACTTTATAGTTAAATGAGAGGATTGAACTGATGATTTCCCTCCATAGCTTGCGGTAGCGGCAACGGTGGTCTCACTTGCCAAACATGAGGTCCAATTCAGCTATTCTCTCGAACCGTCACAGGGGTAAATTGTCTATACGTAGAAGGCTTTTACATTCGTTCTGACAATCATGTTGTTAGATAATGAATGTTCTTCCACTGACGAGCGAAAGACCGAGTTTAGGGTTTTTGCATTCATGTTTTTGTTCACATCATGTAAAGGAAATTGGATTTGTTGTTTGACACAATTTCAGCACATTGATTTGAACAGTGAGATTTGATGAGACTTAGCTATAGGAAAACTACAGTTCCTGTCGTAGGGGGCAAAGCGTGAAATATCACTCGGTGAGCAATCAGATCAGACCGGTCCTAGAGTTAGTTCAGTGGGGATGGACACTTAGCACAGGAAGGCACGGGACAAATAAAGAAGAAACAAACATATAACAGACAAGGACAGAGACAACGTACGCTAATGACAGCAGCAACAGGAAAACATAAGTATGTACATACACAAGAGCACAAAAGAAAGTAAAAAGAATAGTAAAGAACTGAACAGTAGGTACAGATAAAGGTGAAGTGAAGCTCAGTACACATGAAAAATGACTCTTGTATGAACAGTAGATACGTAGCACATGCACCTGAAGAAATGTGTAGAGGCAAAACGGCAAAAAAGAATTAAAAAAACACCTATGTAACCCATATGTACCACAAAGTACCACAAAGTATACATTGGCTGGATGAAAAATAAAGAGTGACTGAAGAGACCGTTTCGATAGTGAGAAAGAACAGACGAAGAACTTGATAAAGAAAAGAAGTGGGCTATAGGTGGTCACGATTGTGGGGTAAAGAGGGACAGACACGATACGAGAGATACAAGCAAGTAAACGAACGAGAGTGAACATAAGATAAAAGGAACGGTAGTAGAATACACTCGACGTACACCCCAAAGTACAAATATCGCTTGACATCGGGATAGTTTTATTCAAATTCTCCTTTCCTAACACTTATTCTTTCACGAAAATGGTAAATGTCCATGCTCGTCTTTCGACGACGACGTGGTTTCCCTTGGAGGCTTGACCCGGAACTCGGCCATGATGCATATATGACTACAATAACGAATTAGGGTAGTTAGAAACAGAGTCAGAGGAAAAAGAGCCAGAAAAGAAAGAGAACCAAAAGAACAAACAAAAAAGTACTCACTCTGAGGGGAAATGAACATTCGGAAATCCCACACATTTACTCATATACACCGGATCGACTTGACCCAGGACGGCGTTCACTCCGAGGCTGGAACCAGAGTACCAGATATAGTCGAGAACACCGCTGAACGAGGACACGTAGTTGGTCGTTGGAAGGAGTTCAGGTGAAGGAGAGGAGGTGGAAGATCTTAAAAGAGAAGAGGATGTACGGATGAGGGAAGTGGAAGCAGGAGTCGACAACAGATTATTCGATGCACCAGGCGCAGGGGTAGAGCCCGGTGTCCTAGTTCCCGATGTCGGCAGGGGTTGCTGCTGTTGGTGTAGCGATTGCGGTGCTCTGGAATGTGCACCATGTACACCATGTGCCGGCGCCGCATATGCACTTTTCAGCCCTAACCAGCTCTTCAAGCCATCCGCGTTCCCTCCTGCTGAGCCGGGGCCTGAACCTGCACCCCCGGTATACTTCCCATACACATGCCCCATGAAATCGGGATGGTCCTTTCTTAGTGTACCCGTCGACAAAAACTCGTACACACCGGAGCCTGGAATGGAATTAAAATCGCCACAGAAAATGAGAGGGATTTGCGAGGCAGATGTATACGTCGGTGGTTTGGGACGTTGATGACGTGTAGAAGGTTTTGAAGAGGGAGAGTCGGGAGGTGATGATGACGACGAAGAAGGTGGTAAGGATGATGACGGTAAGGATGAAGTGGTAGGAAAAGGCGAGGATAGCTCTGATGATGATGAAAACGAGGAATCGGCAATGCCATCGACACTATCCACGTTCCCATTCGCCGTCTCCGGCTCAGGCCACAACCTCGGTGGCAACTTCACGAATCTCTCCGCCATCTTCTCCACCTCCTCAACCATCAACGCGACATGTACTAGCTTCACATCGCAGAATTTGGGATCCCACAATATATGCACATTCGCAACCAGCACCCTCGAGCCCGTCTCCCTATTCTCAAATGCACACGCAGTCGCAATATGGTCTTTCCCTAACACCCTATTGAACATATCTTCCGTCTTCTTGAAATCTTCTCTCTGCATCGCAACCGCACTAAACTCGATAAGGTGTTTCTCGATAAGTTGGTACTTGTCTGCACGAAAGAACGTCGCCAATCCATCGACGAACCGCCGCTCGTTCTCGTTAGACATCGTCTTGGCACGGGATTTCGGCCAATAGACGGATTCGTAACCGGCTTCGGAGAGGTGTTTGAGGAAAAAGTCTTCGTAAGAAGTCACGTCGACTTCTTGAAGACAAATGAAATCAGCTCCATGAGCGAGAATTTCGGAGAGGATGAGTTCCCGACGGTAATCCCAGGCCAGCGCCCAGGAGGGAGTGTATCCGTACAGACGCACAGTGGCAGCGCGCTGGCAGAGGATATTGTAGCATACGACGGAGATGGTCTCTGTCGATGGTGGTAGGGCTTCTTGTTCAACTGGTGTAATGAGCGGTATCCACGCTCGATTCTGGGGTGGCGCCGAAACTGGACACGAATCCCGCAGAAAGGCTATCAAGGCGGGAGTACCGTCCTTGGTGATGAGGTTTTTGAGGTTGGTGTCCAAAGGATTGCCTTCGACACCGAGAGTCTGTAACTGATGCAAAGTTCCAAACTCTGGGGGAATTGTCATTATCTGATTATCAAACAGATAAAACTCTTTCATGGACACCAGCATGCCCAATTCTGGAGGCAACGTTGTCAATGCATTCCCAGATAAATCCAGCAGTTCCAGATTTCGCAGCTGAGCAATCTCTGGAGGGATTGCGATCAGACCGTTGTGATTGAGGTAGAGATTTGTGAGGAAATTGAAGGAGAATAAGCCAGAATTTGATGGAAGGTTCTTGATACCTACTCCGCCCATGTCCAATGACGTCCACGTTGCCTCTGACCGCGGTCTGGGTGGCTCAGCGATAGGTGCAACCGTCGACGACGGGTGGCTAGCGTTCCCATTGGCCAGTGGTGGGGAGTCCGATAGTAATGGCTCTTCTGGTGGTGGTTTCGGGTTCGGGTTCGGATTGGTGATAGGGATAGCTGATTTCGCGACTGTCCGCGACGCCATTGCACTGGCTCGTGCTCGATGGTGCGGAGAGCGAGATTGCCTTATGATCTGATTATGATTATTTATTAATGGAGAGGTGCCTACGAGTGCAAATATCACACACCTCGCATTTCAGTAACTGCTGTTGCCAATGTTGCGCTAGCGGCGCACTGGCTGGACTCCCTTGATTTATCCCTACATGGTGTTGCTGAATTGGCGGGCTAGGATAATGAGGATTGTGATGAGTATGTGTATGACTGTGATTGTGATTATGAGTGTGGTTGGTTAAGTTCTGCGGAGGTTGTTGTCCAGATAAAATCTGATGGTGAGTTAAGGGTGGCCCAAGATGACTATGTTGGTGGTGATGTTGAGGTTGGCTGTAAATTCCGTATCCAGGTGAGGTCGGCGGCGGTGGCCCACCGACAGGCTGTCGAGGCCAGGACTCAGTCCCTAGTTTCTGACCTCCCGTGAAATACATCAAGCATGGAAGAAAGAGTAGTAGAAGGAAGGAATTGTAGTCACCGACGAATGACCTAATCACTAGTTTCTTATACATCCTTTGTAATAATCAAAACCTAATATTATGATATTCCGATATGGTGTAGTGGCTAACATTATCGCCTCTCACTAGCCAGTATGTCGCGATAGCCCGGGGTTCGATTCCCCGTGTCGGAATAAATCTTCAAAATCTTCTTTTTTTCATCAGAGATGTCACATTACATACAGTTCCAAGCGGAGCCTCTTGGGAGAGCTGAATGCGTCCCCATTTCAATGGGACCGAAAACGGGAGAAAATCAGAATCAGGCTCCGACGAATGGTTGCTTTCAGTATTGACCTTGCCTGAAATTAAGCAATAGATCTAGAAAGCACTGAATAAACCGAAGAAAAAAGAACAGTGGACTTTCCCATCCACATCGGAAAAAACATATGTATATGTACGTTCATTTGAGCATCTATTCAATTACTTCGATACTCTACCTTTAACTTCAGGATCAAATGGGATACGGGAACATCAGCGTCCTCCAAACCTCATTCTTCTCTTTAAACTGTGTGCGCCTCCATTCTCTCTCTGTCCCTCCTACGTGTCCATTACTATTATCTCCATTTCGACTCGAAGATTGATCAGTCTCGATGGCATCCTGTAGACTCCACGCCCGCCCAAAATCGATCAGCCTAAACCGTCTATCGTTCCTTGACTTCATCAGCGGGAAGTCACCATGGTCACCTATCTGCATGACAATGTTCCTATGTGCGAAGGAACCGTGTGTCCACCCGTGGTGGTGCAACCGGAATAGGAGCGCGGCGCATTCTTGTCTAGAGGTGATATTGTCGGTAAAAGTCAAATGAATTAGATAACCGCAAATGCAGCTGCACACACCTATCATCAAGAGACAGCTTCTCAACTTCGATTGGTTGGCCACAATCTTCGATCAAAAGGATAGGACTGAGGAATGAATCCCGGTCTATGACTTTTTCCTCGTTGTCTTTTGTCTTGTCCTCCTCCTTGGAATAGAACCCGTAGAAATTTGGCGTTATCGCCCCGGTAGGAGTCGGATCCCTTAGTGGTAACGCAACTGTATACCCCGACCAATGCTGCGAAAAGTCTTCTCCGAAGCTTTGATAGCATTTCGCCTCCTTCTCAAGGTGATTGTCATCATAAACAGATAACTTAGCAATAACGGATACAGATGCGGTTGGAGGAACTGGGCCTGGGAGGGGACCGGAGATGGAAGACGTGACTGCAAGGTGAGAGCAAGGAGCAGGATCAGTTGATGATGAATCGTACCAAGGTACAGTGTCGACGTGAACGGTGGGCATGGACTCGCCGGTATATTCGAGATAGTCTACCGTTTCACCGCCAACACTGTAACATGGGGTGTTTTCGTCTTCCGGTTGGCCTTCTCGAACGATGGTCATATCGATCACAGGAAGGTGTTGCTTTCTTAAGATGAAGTTCCTGCCCACAATCTCGTCCGCACGCCCAGCTCTATCAGAAGCACTGCTGGTATCACCAGCTGCGTTCGAGACCGAGTCTTTTGAAAAGATCTTCTTCGCAGCTTCCTCCACACATTTATGACAAATCACGTATTTTGAAAACACGGATCGAGGCAAATCCCACTCTGCGCGATAGACAATAGAATGATGACCTTTTCCGACGAATTCTGCAGGACTGATGAATAAGTGGGCTTCGGCAATGGACGATGGCGAGGCAGGTGGTGAAGGGACAGTCATCTTGAATGCTGTACCAGATTGTGCCGTAGACGATGATCCTATCCCTGATTCAGTGCTGTTCGGGCAATCAAGTACAATGCCAATGAACACTGGACCGTCTTTACTGGCTGCCTCAGTTATTTTGGCTCGTTCTGCGGCGATGGAATCCTTGATAGAGGGAACAGTCAAATTGAGACTATATCTATGAGTGATATCGTCGACAGAAGTCCAGTCAACGTCTGACTCGTCAGGGGGGTCATCGCCGTTGAGAAGACGAAACGGATCATGTACGATTAATGTTTCTGGAAGTAGATGGAAAGGAATCGGCGATTGGAGGGTGGGCGCGTCGGATGAGAATGGAACGAGAGGCCATGGATCAGGATAGTTTTCGTAGTCAAATGGACGTGGTATTGCGCTCTGAACTTGAATGTAAGTAATGAGAAGAACAAATGGTGACAGCTCTATGTACATACGATGGTCTCGTTTTCGACGCTCTCTTCTTCTGTAGATGTAGCTTCGCCATCATCATCATCATCATCGCGCATCGAAATTCCGCATGAGCCCATCAAAATCGCCAAATTCTTTACCCCAATGATCTCTAGAATATCAGCCGCAGGTCTTAACCTCGGTTTCTGCTCCATCTCGGCCCACTCCAATTCATCTTTAGCATAAAGCTCTCCATGAGCCTTCATCCACGCATATAGCTTACTTCCACTTGAGAATCCCAGCATCGCATCAGCACATTCGTCGTTGAAGCTTCGGAACATGTAAAAGTCCAAGGTCGTCGCACCCCAGAGGTGGTGACTGTTATTCGTTCTATACCCGGCAGAAAGCTCGCGCAAGTCGGACATTATGCACGGTTTTCCTCCTCCTTTGGGATCTCGGGGCCAAACCTTGTATATGCGACGTGTATGTTTGTTAAACTCCGAGTCTTGCGAGCCTTCTTCTTTTTTGAAAAGTTCTTTGTATATCCTAAGTGACCATTCAGAGTCCGGATCTTCATCGAACATTCCTTCTATAGTGTCACTCGAGAAGCGAGTAAATTGGTGAGTCGATGAAGACATGATATCAGTGTAAAGAGCGAGGGTACATGGGTGGGCGCAAGAGTGGGCGATATAGTGATCACATGTCTTAATCGATAGTCATGCCAGACTGACGACGGGTATAGCCTGAAGAGGGATAGAAGAGGCAAGGCTCTTGCTGGACGGGGAAGGGGGAGAGGCAGCAAACATGGAGGCTGGCGAGATATCGTCAACCGTAACGCCGAGTCATATCCACCTGAGGAGATACATCAGCTGGGAATTCCTCTGTTCTGATTGCCCAGAGCACGGTTGTATCAACCTGTAAGTATGTCGGTGACCTGTACAGACCATACATAGAAAAAGAAAAGACGCAATCTGCGTTTGCTATCTTTTACGTTCACGAACCCAGTGGTAGCGGGGACTGTAGCTGAGTAGCTAGTCCTTGTAGGTGCTGTCGCACCTCCGAACAACGTGTAATTCAACAACAGGGAGTACTTTTGCATATACTTAGTCTTTAGCTGGCCATCATGGAATGCCCGTGGGGCCACCTAATCAGGATGTGGGCTGTGATCTTGTGGGATCATAGAATTAACGCTCATGTTGTGTCCCGCACACACCTCTTCGGAATTGCTTTGCTTCGCTCAGAGTCATGAGCCTTTGATCGTTGTTTGGTCGTGTTAGTTCTCTATGAGTTACTCACGTTCTGAGTCAAATCTGACTTTCACCAGTAAATATGGCATCCAATATTATTCCTCCTCCTCCTCAAAACCCACCTACTATCGAGGACATTGACAGAGCACGCGCGTATAAGACTAATATGGACTTGCAATGTATAGTCTTATTTTTACTGTTATTTCGATGTTTTTTATATCACTGATTAGGTGGGACCCTTGCCAACGCCCCGACGGACGCAGAATGTGGTGAAGTTGTGCAGTAACCACTCACTGTCACTACATAAAATGCACCAACTGGTGGTGAGTCACACTATATGTAGATTCTATCATATTTTACATAAATGCAGTCCCAGCTTGGTTCAATGGTGCTCTCCAAGCAGCTCTTGCCCCTATTCTTCAGGAAGTTCAAGGCCTTTGTGATGATGTTGGTTGCATGAAATGAGAGTTAGTTGTCTTAAGCAACCAGGCAAAAGGCAATGGTCTCAGGATGCCATTTGCTGCTGTTCATAATGAAAATGGTAAGTGTCATGCCTCGCCCTGGATCGCATATGCCACAAGCTCCTTACCATAGTCCCCAACCTCCCCAGTCCCCCTTTCTGGACCTCCCAATATCCCTCCCAACATCCCTTTAGGTCTCCTTACTGCTAGAACAACCTCCACAATCAATAGCCTCCCTCCAATCAACCAAACAACATTACTACAGAGCCCTGGAACCATGTACATGCACCCATCATTCCATCCTCATGTACTTAGAAACCCCATTAGGTGCCCATTTCATACTATGTCCCTTTGTTAACTTCCCTATACATATTTAAGCAGTCCCGTAGCGTCCAGAAGCCCAGCTTGGTATATTTTGAACACACACCCTTTTGCATAGGTCCAGTCCCTGTCCCTTTGTACCTGCTAACTATACGGATTTCTCTTACTCTCTGTCTCTTTATCTCTGTTTCTCTACTACTATCTTGTCTCTACGGTCGTCTAAACGATCCAATACATGCTTTTTCCTCACGTCTAAGCAATCCAAGTGAGTCTTCGAACTCCCTTGACTAATATTAAAGCTCCCCAAACGTCTATTGTCTTGGTGAGCCAACCTCCCCCAAACCTCCTCAAGCTCCCCAAGCGCTCCACAAGCTCAGGGACCTTGATCTAGGTAATGTTGAAGCTACCCCCTATGTTGAACTATGTACTGCTTCTCCGTTACTACCTCCAATGCTTGCGGACGTCCGCCCCTACCTCCACTTCCCGGGACCTCCCTCCCGGGCTTACACTTTATTGGGAGCTCTCATGCTTGGAACTCACTTCAGCTACAATCTATAACGATCCTGTGCTGTCGATCCTATCTACTACAACCCGTACTACGTAACTGTCTGACGTTCCCTAGCTCCTAGTGACCTCTAGCCCCATTAACATCCTAGGGACCTCCCAGGACCTCCTAGGAACCTCTTCAAAGGTCAACCCTTTCAATCCGAACTACTTGTAGGTCATTCCTGTCCTTGGTCGCGGTTCCTGTAGCTCCCTTCGAGCTCCAGCTTGCTCCTAGCACGCTACAACATAAATCTCTTATACCAAAACCTACCCTAAGACCAATTCTGACCCAGGTCTTACATTATACCAAGCTCTCCCGTCACCGAACGGACTCGTCGCGACGTCAACAGAACGTCCCTCTAGTTCCAAACTCAAATCAAGAAAACAAAAGAGCACCTTATCTCATGGAAACACGACGCAAGCTCAAAAGTCAAACCAGGCTGCCAGTTCCACTGCCATCACT